TTTTTTTTTTTTTTTTTTTGTTTTCCTGAGATTACTTTTTACTAACTGTGAGAGAGGCTATCTATTCGTTCCAGTGTGGGGGAGGAAAAAAAAGAAAAGACATGTATCCAATTCTTCGAGGATGATTCTGAAAAAGCGTCGATCAAGCGATTAGCTGCGGTGAAGAGGTGGCGTAATTATGTTTCGTGGCATGAAAGTACTTTTTCTTTTATTTAAGTTTTTTTTTTTCTATTTCGATATAAGGTTCGTGATATTTTAAGAAAGAGTTAACTTAAATTGAACGATTTAATAATAACGGAAAAATAAAAGAAATTGGATACTTGGTGCTTGCTAGAATTGATCTATATTGCAGCAATCTATATTGTTAATTTTATTTCGTATCTTTGGATGTAACTTTTATTTGAAAACAAAGGAACCTTGCCACAAAAGCAATCTCGTTTTAATTATAAGGCAGAAAATCGTTCATTGTTCGCGTTAGAAATAGAATTTTCCCTTCTCTTTCGTTTCATTTCCTTTCCATTCGTGAAGAATTATTTTTGCTCTTTGTTCTAAAGGATCTATTTTTAAATTTTCAATAGAATTGTCAGAATTAAAAATAAAGAAAAAAAAAACGAAGAGCTTGGATATTTAACTTTTAACGTTTCATAATTAATATAGAACAGTATCCTTGAATTTGTAATTAATCATTGTTTTATTATGTGAAAAACGAATTGAAGAATTTTGTATAAACTTTCGATTCATTTTTACTCGATATCATTTGTTTTTACTCGATCGATATCGAAAAAATAATTTGAAATAAATAAATATATATAGAAAAATAAATAGAAATTAATAATATAAAGATAAATCGAATAATATGAAATATAAAAAGAAACTGACTATTGCGCGAGTAATAGAGTAAATAGAGACTTCCATTAATTTTCGAAACGTTTCGATCTGATATGTCATTTTATAATCTTAATCATTACACATAATAAACACAAGTAACAAAATGTAGCAATAGTTTGAAGTGAAAGTAACGAGTAGACGGAGTTTCGCACATGTACAATTAATATTTCAAATCATTTTTATTGGAACGAATTTTAATTTCCACAATTCGTTTTTTCACGTAAAATAATCTCACTCTGCTCTTGCTCCATCCATCATCAATCATTGTACGATCCACGATCCAATGTAAAATATGGAAGCTTAAACATCGATAAGATAAATATATCTTTCTTTTATATACGTGTTTCGAAGATTCCTTCCAACAAGAAATATCATCAATCGCTATTCTACGATCGAAATCGCCTAATAAATCAGAACGCGTTAGATTATAGGTAGGTTAAACAAACCTTCACTTTCTCCATCGATATTTCAAAGCAATTGGACAAAAACCAAAAACCAGTTTACAAACTGTGCAATAAATGTATCGTATGCCAGATTTCTTGAAATGTGAAATAATTAATTTTCACACATGGAAGAAATCGGAATTTTATCGCATGTGGAAAATATTTTCCATCGATCGAAGTTTCATAAGAGTTTTGGACCTTGAGAGAACTCCACGTCGAGGATTCGTCGTTAAAGGATATCGTTCGATCCAGTCGCGTTTGGAGGTTTCAACGATATCATCGAAGCTGTTGGTAACAATCGTGTATCCCATTAAACAATCCAATTTCTCGAAAATCGTTGGAATCGATTTTTCACCAATCACCATAGAGAAAGCTCTTTCGATTTCTTTTTTTTCTTTGTTAATCACGCATCATTGTCCAGTCTCGATTGGTCGTCAATGATGTTAAAAGCGAACAGATGCAACATCAGCTACGTGATTTGTAGCTTTTTACCTCACCACCAAAATTCAATCGTTTCTCAATATCTACTCCTTAGCGTTGACGAGATTTTTAGTACAGGTTTGTACTTCTGTTCGAAAGAATTGAAAAACTGGAAGAAAAGTGAGAGAAAGAAGAAAGAAAGAAGTCATTTTTTACGTGGTCAATATAACAGATATGTATAATATGTATGGTAAAATATTATTTCTTAAATTACTAAGAATACAAAATAATTTATTATCAGTACAAAAAATATTATGTTAAATTTTATTTGCATAATTATAGTATCAAATTTTAAAAAAGAACTCCATCAAAACTGTTTCTTTTAATTTTGCCTATAATTCAAGAAATAATTAAATGGATCATTGTTACAAGCATGAATTCCAAAAATAATTGCACAAATTCATATTTACAAACGTACAACATCCTTCTAAATTCCAATACTTTCAAAAACAAATAGCGGTATGTATCGAAATAAATGTGTATCCGTATTAAAGTATCAAGCAGAAATAATAGAGAGTAATATTATATCAAAAATCTTCAAAAGCTAATAACAACGAATATAATCAAGCATTTCTATCGAACGATGATCGACGAAACGATGATTGAAAGCCATTAATTCTAAGATTACGAGACAGGTTTGCATTCGTTTCTCCTAAAAGCATAAGAGAAGCTACGCATCGATGGGAAATGAAGAACATGCGATCACGCAATGCAATGATTTGTCTGTACTCTTACGCGTCGCAATCCTGTGCCATTAATCAACGTTAAGGGATTCACGATTAAACTTTCATCCGTCAAAATATTTGCTGAAGCTGCGGTTTCGAGGTCATCAGGCTCGACCGCCATCGAGTTCTTCCTCGAACGCCTGCCATAGTTATTCTTCCGCTGTTCCTACACGAATCGTTTTCGATTTCAAAATGCAAAAATACTGATTCCTCAAAATTACGATAGAGATGGTACCAGTGACTATTTTATGGAATTTTTCCAAGAAAACTTGGATGAAAAAAAAAAAAAAAGGTAAATTGTGTGTTTAGTTATGTATAGCATGCTGATTAATTTTTGTTTAGTGTTAAAAAATATATGGTACATTGTATTTATTATGTCACAGTCAGTTTTTTCCTTTTTTTTTATTTAGTTATTTTACTAGACTTTTGTACCACGTTTAATCTATTTTACAACAGTCAACGTCAACAGTTATAATGTCTATGTATCGTTGTAATAGAAAGCTTGAAGACTGTTGAACTAGAATAGAAGCATAGAAATACATGTTACACCCTATTAATTAAAGATTGAGAGAGAATTTTATTTGGATGCTGTAAGCTGATTTGAAGGGCACTCTGGACTCTTACCTCCAATGGTGTTCTAGAAGTGGTTTTTGGGGCTGGTATTTTCGTGTTGATATTCTTCTGAAATCATACTTATCGATTAGCATGCACTATATTTTTTTAGAATTTTATCAAGACAGATATATATTGATCCTGACTTGAATATAAATCAATTTACACTTTATATTTTCTGTAATAATTTTAAGTGTTTAAAAATATTTGAAAAAGCCTAAAAATATAGAAAAATAAAATTCAGATAAATAAAAGAGGCTTTTGTCTCCATATGAGATCTCTTGCATAATAATTTAAACTATGGGATATTTGAAAAATCATTTGTGATAACATTACTATTTATTAACCTGAAATTTTTAAGAAAATAAAGTTTGAATGATTTCAGAAATTCAAATTTATCTAATAAAATATTTGTTCGTTCAATTTCTATCAATAATTTCTAACAATAATTATTAAACATAAAAAAAAATACCTAAAGTAGCATACATATAGTGATGTATTCCAAATTACATCTATAAAATCGAATTAAGTGATAAAACTTACCAATTGAGACAATTTCGCCTTGAACTCAGGCGGATAATTGTCACTCTCCTCGTCTTCTGCAACCGCCTTGCTGAGTCCAAAGGTTTTATTACCTCTTCTATAACTCTTGGTCGTCGTTTCAGCCATCGTCGAACTCTCCTCCGTCGTTTGCAGCTTCTTGAAGCCTCTTCTAGTGCTGGAACTTTCAGTCGTTACAACGTCGGTGGTCGATTGTTCGTTCGGTGGTATCACTTCGTTCGTTTGTTCCCTTGCCGAGAGTAGACTCGTCCCCGAAGGATTTTCAAAGTTGTTGAGATGAGCTGGACGCCTTCTTAGGGTCCAGCCAGGATTTCCATGCGATTGAGATTCGTTTCTCGAGGATTTCTTCCAATCTGTCGTGTCGTTCAAGAATCCTTCGGGCAAAACTTTCCTACCCCTGAATCCCAATCCGTGATTGAAAAAGTCTTCTTTGCTCTTTCTTCCTTGGCTACCGTTTCTACCTCTTCCTCTACCTCGTCCAGAAGATTCCGTGATTGATGTAGAAGATGTGGAAGATGTTGTTCTTACGGATATTCTTGAACTGGTTGATGTAATTGGTCTTATGGTGGTACCCATTACTTCAGAATCGGTTGTCGTCACGTCGTTGTTAGAAATTGTTGTATCTAATGCAACGGTCGTGGTAACATCTGTTCGAGAGATAGAATTTTGCAATTTTTAGCCGAAAAGATTAAAAAACAAATTTAAACTTTTAAATTTTTACGCTCACCTGCAATTATGGGCGTGGTAATATCCATTCTTGACGTTCTGCCTCTCGATCTTCCTCGCGTATCCTGACCATCTTGTCCATGATTTTCGAATCTTGTAACAGCCTCAGGAATCCTCGATCTTCTCTCCGAATTTCTCTCCCCAGCCACTTTACGTTTCACATCTCGTTCCAAAGAGCTGGCATTCTTATTCTCCAAATTTCTACCCCTGGATCTCGATCTCGTCTCAGTCGTTGAATTCCTCTTGGTATCCGAACCCCTCGATCGATCTCTGGAAATCGTATTCCTCCTGGAACTAACGATCTGCTCGTTACTCTCTGTCGTTGTGGAATCGCTGAACTTGGAAGATCCTCTTCGAGAACCAGATCTTGAGGAGCCAGCAGTCTCAGAGTCGTTCAATCTTCCACGACTTTTCGACCTTTCAGACGATCCTGTCCTTCCATTGGATTTAGACGACTCTTTAACGTCTGATCTTCTCTGAGAAGCTATGCCAAAGATGGTAGTCACGTCAGGAACCGGATTTTGCGTTGTATCGATCGCCAGAGGGATGTCGACTCTGACGCTCTCGGATTCCGATAAGAGAGGATCCGGTCCTCTTCGTTGAATAGAATTATTCTCTTTGGTGTTGATCACCTTTGATCTACCAGATCTGGTACTCTTCTCAATCCTTTCTGTCGTCGATCTACCCCTTTTAAACGAAACTGTGGTAGTTTCATCTTCGAATTTTTTATTGGTGTACCTTCTGGAAGTGGGTATCTGGGTCTTCAGATCCTTCATGGAATAAGTCGTCTGAATCTTCCTTCCGGTTCTGGATCTCGAGGATTCCGTGGTAGCCAGAAACACAGACGGTCCTTTGTTGTCCAATCTTTCAGTGCTACTTGAATTATTCGATTTTCTATTAAACGTTCTTCGAGAAATCCCTTTTGTCGTTCCCATTGTCTGATCATTGTTCTTCAATTTTGCTCCCTCGTTAGCTTCAGAGAAATATCTTTTCCCATTCCTTCTATTAATCGGCGAATCTACGCTTTTAGCGTTCTCTGTTTCCTTTCTGGAGATTCTTCTCGAATCATTTTTAATTTCCGTGGCAGAGACGTCCCTTTCTGTGGTTCTGGTCGTTCTTACGATCGAGTTCTTGGTAGAATCGAATTTTGATTCGAAATCGATCACAGACGGTTGGGTCGATACTTCGTTTGATCTTTCCAAATTGGAAAATCTCTTTGATTGAGCTGATCTTTCTCGAGCTGATCTGGATCTCGATGTTGAGGTCGATGCGGTTGTGGCTTCTTCCAATGATTTGGAATACCTCAACGTTCCACGATTTGTGGTTTTAGGATCGTCGAGCTGAACAAATTGTTAATTTTTTCTTTATTTTTATCAATCGTGATACTTTTGCCTACAAACCGTGTAAAATATATCGTTTTACTACAATTTGAATAAATAATTTTTTATTCCGTTTTATTTATCGTGAAGCAAATTGTGTGAAATCTTGTTACAAATGGATGGGTATTTTCTAATGAATTCGTATTTAATAATTTGACACATTTTCACTTTTTTTTATCTAAATGATCAAATAACAAGATATACACGTTTTCAACAATTTCCAATGTACCATTCGCGTGATTCGACGTGTTCGTTCACTTTACTCTCACTTTATAATTATCTTTCAAAATTATCAAAGCTATAATAATTATGAGCTATAACTAATTATTAATTTTATGCAACGTATCTTTTTGTATATTATATTCATTTTATTATTTATGAGATGTTTATTTAGATTTTAAAAATCGTAAATACGACTTTGATGATTAAATAATTATCAAAAAGTTATTAAGTAACTTATTTAGTTTTGTTTAAACGGATTTTTAAATTATATCGAGAGAAAGGAAGAGAGCATCAAAATGATTTATCATTTATTTTTCAATATAATTAACGTTATAATTAACGTCTATAATTTAAATTTTTTTACTCTCTACTATATAATTTAATTTGCCTAAAACAATTTCTCCTCATCTTATTCAATTTATTTAAATGCAACAACGATACAACGATACGTCATGGCAATTAAATAGCACAAATTACACGTTCAATGACCAATTAATTCGATGTGTCCACATTATTTTAAATAAATTAATTCCCCATTGACGATGTATCCATTCAGAATCAAACAGTTAAACAGCTTTCGATTCGGCTCAGACATTCAAATTTATTCAAATGTATGCTGTGATCATGATCTCCATCATCGTGATTAAACTTCATAACAATTATAGCCAAGATAAAGAAGAGTAAATAATCATCGACTTCAACGTTCGTTAGGATAATATTTCGTTCGTGAAAATTGGCTATTTAATCGGCTATTAATAATCGGTTTTCGAATTATAAGGTAATTTCTTCGAGGATCACAGCTTATAGTGATCCATTATGGCGAATATGGCGATTTTTTTATTTTTCATAATGCTACGACTTCGAGGATAAACGATCTTGCATCAACGTTTCTAATGAAATTGCAATCGATTCTTTTGTAATCCATGTTGTCAAGATAGTATTCCCCATTTGGTAGTCGTCTATTATCGAGAAAGATATAATTAAGAAAAAGAACATCATATTTTCCAACTTTTTTTTCTTTTTTTAAAGTGAAGAAAACTAAGGATTCAAGTTGAGAGTAAAATTCTTGAACGAGTTGCAAGAACTTTGTTGCTCGAGATTTATTTTTCGATAATGAATATTGAAAATGAAAATTTTACTTTGGATGCGACATTTTATCAAAAATATTTTCGATAATTCTCAAATTTTGAAAAAAAACAATTCCTGAAATTGCTTTTGTGAACTTATCTCTGCAACATTTAGCGAGACGCTGTTGATATTATTCTCATTGAAAAAATCTCAACAATTTAATTAAATACAATAATTCTATAAATAAAAGATTAGTTTTTATTTAACATTATCTAAAGGAAGATAGCTGTATTAAATAGGATGAAAATGTGTCTATTAAACGAGAAATACTTTAATTATCAAAGAAAAATACTTGGTTAAAGGTGAACTCCTATGAAGGGATGTAATTAGAGCAAAAATAAATAAAAAAAAAAAAAATCGTGCCATGTAACATTGTGACATTTGCTTTGACGATCCTGTCGTCAATGAAACGAAATTAATATCCTTAATAGGCTAACATGTAATTATAGCATAGCGATTTTCTTTCATATTTATTTTACTTTCATTCCACGATGTTGGTTATATTCTTGAAAATATAATAAAACTTTATTATAACTTATTTATAAGTTATAATAAATCTTTTAGAAGAGAAATAGTTCGTGCAATAAAATTATTAATATATTAAAAAATAGGAAATTCTTTTTTAATAATGAATCTCATTCAAATGAATGCATTTTTAATTTCTATATCTTTGAATTAATTTCCCTCTTTAAAAAATTTTCCGATGTATTTACATAAGAATCAAGGAAATCCTCTCTAACTTTATCATTGATGAGGATAATTCTCGTTTGATTAATTTCAATTAAAGAGAAACTTAATAACTTCTTGTTGTTTCATATTTTGTAATAACTTTTTTAACAAAACACTTGTGACTCTCTGTTTATATAATGCATAATTACTCATAAGAAAAAGTAACGATAGAAAAAGTTTGAAACACTCTGTATATTGATTACACTGTAATACAAAATAAAAAATCGACATTTTTAATTGAAAATATATATGTGAATGGAAAATGCACGAGAAAGAGAAAGAGAAAGAGAAATAGGTAGAACGATTACAGCACCAGGAAGAGACAACAGATTCATGAGAAGAAGTTAAGGTGAAAGCATCGCGGTTAAGGAAGATACAAGAAAATTTACAATACCTATATTTTTTAAATTAGATTCTTGATTGCTTGCTAAGTGTTATAAATTACATTACGAAGTAGTAAATAGTGATAATGATGTATGTAAGTTACGTACAGTAGAATTAAATGTACATCTTCGAAAAGACGCATCAGAATATTGTTAAAATCTGAAAGGTTTCTATCGAATTACAAGAGAAAATATAATATTTCTATTTTAAATTACAAATGTGTTTTTCTCAGATCGATCATCAATTAGAGTAATATTTCCTAAATAATTGCTGTTTTATTATTTATAAAGCTAATACATTTTTTATAATGAAAGTAAGTTCATTCAATTAATTAATGATCTTCAATCAAATATAAATTAAAAAAATTTACATATATTATTCTAAAACTATTTAATTTTATTCACAGTGTATAATTAAATGAACTTCAATTCTTGTTGTATCATTATATATTAATTTACTATGACTACATTTAATCGAATAATAGTGATTACGATAAATTATTCTTGACTCATTGCACTTCATGAAATAAAAAAAGGAATATTGATTTAACGATTATTCGCAAAACTTAGGATTAACATAAATAAGAATAACAAATAAACTTCTGAATCGATAATCATCTATAATGGATAATAAATTAACAAGTCGTCATTAAATCAGGTGAACCAGTGTTCATCTTAAATTATGATTCTATCATGTCCAATTACAATAAATAATAGTTTCGTTTATCGTGCCATTAACTATCTCCAGTCACGAATCAATTAATTAACTGTTTGATCAAAAAAAGAAAAAATGCAAATTTGATGATCTCTATAATTTTCATCGACAGAATTAATACAAGGCTATTTATTCCATCGCTTTATTATATTTATAATGACAATTGAGTTAAACAAAAAAAAAAAATTTCACGAAATAGAATTCTAAAATTATTGTTCATTGCTCGACTATTATTTCCAAGTAGTTGAACATAACATCTCAAATAGTGGCGGTCACTATAATTTTCCATCGCATTGACTTTTTCTATTACAGTCTTTCGACTGTAATAATCGTGACGGTTTGTTCAAATTCTTTAATTTAATTTAATTTAATAATATTCAATTTTGTTCCCCGTTCGTTTTATAAAATCCATCGAATACGATTTAGTGTACGATTAATTAATTAATAAATCGATCTTTGAAACGATAGAATTTTCATTTTATTGCGAAAAAAAATTTTTTTTTTCTTGTGAAAATGAATCAGATGTAAAATATCATATGTTGCAAAATCAAATTTTCTCGGTTATGAAAATTAACGGGATAATATCACATGCTACAATAGAAAGCGAAATTATTACACTTTTGTAATAATCTGATAAAGTCAATACTAATGATGATTATATCGTTATTATGAAATTTTTTAATTATTAATTGATTTAAAAAATGAAAATTCACTGAGAATATTAAAAAAAAAAAAGAAAAAGTTAATTTTGATACGAAGTATGATTTTTCTTGATCAACATCATTCAATCAAAATTAATACGAAATAATTAGAGAATGAACAATATCGCTTCTATCTTCTTTTCTATTTTTTCTCTCTTTCAACATTGATTTCCTAATGCAAAAATCATCTTATATATCCTCTTTTCATCCCCGTCAAATTTTTTTCTATCAAGATCCTTTCAGAAACCAATAGAAAACAAATTGATAATCCCACACCAACCACATCACAGAAACACGCACTAGAACTCATCATACCATTTCACCATAACCACCAGAAAATCCATTTCCTCCCGGCAAAACCACAAGCAAAAACCATCCTCCTGTCGCGTTATAGCGACTGTAAAAAAAAAAAAAAAATTAAAATAAAATCTATCGTTGCGGTGACGCAGATGAACCTTGTGAACACGGGTCAAGAGGCCTTATTTATCTAAGAATTTTTTAAATATTGCAAAGGAAACAGCACGCCTTCGCGTTCCAGTTTCGTTTATCCTTATCCACCGGCAAGACACACGTAGCGTGGAACCGATGCTGAAAGTAAAAGTCGGTGTTTCACGTCACGTTACCTAGTCAACCATGCAGCCGAACTCGAGAGCAGCCTTAAACACGGCTGGCTGAATGCGCAGTTAACTACTGCAAACAGGCGTGCAAAAGTTTCTCAAACTTGGATCGCCTGTTTTTCAACGAGACGATTTTTCTCAGGCCACCTGAGAAATCGATCGAAGAAAGATTCGAAGAAAAGAATGGAAGAATGAAAGATATAAGTCTTTTTTGCAAGTTTAGGAGGAGAGCAAGAGACAACGAGGAAGAGTATCCATCGATCGTTCCTTTCGATCGTGAAAGGTGTTTTCTTGTCTGATAAAAAGAAAAATGGATGCTGATAGAAGTGAAGGCACTTTCGCTACGATACGACGTGATTTTGTTGAAAAGATTATACTTTGGTATATAATCCTTATAAATCCGATAATCCTTTCAAAACTGAACTCTTTAAGTATGGAATAAAGATAGATTTGTGATATAATATAG